CGGTGGGGCCTGCAGCCCCGAGGGAGGAGCCCCAGCCTAGAGCACCTGGCAGCCCACGCTGGAAGGAACTCCAGATTTGCCAAGGAGGAAGAGGGACTCAGTCTCAGTCCTAAAGACAGCCTCCCTGCTCTCTTCAGAACCCTCAAAAATACTCCTGAGTCAGGGCCTGTGAACTCCAGCTCCTAACGCAAGCCCCGTCCCAAGCGCAGTCTTTCTCACCGTGCCTGCCGGTCTTCACCCCAGGCCGCAGCCTCTGACCCAGGCTAGGCCTCACCACCAACCCCAAATTCTCCAGAGCCCCCAGCCCCAGCTGGCTTCTTCCTCACCTCACTGTGGTCCCCAGCCTGCCCGGCCCCCACACCTCCAAGCCCACAGCACTCACAGGTCCAATGAGAGATCTTGGGCCACGAGAGACTCCCAGGAGGACCAGAGCCAGGCCTCCTGACACGATCAGAGCTGCGGGGCAGGCCGTGGACACCAGGGAGATAGGCGCACCCAGAACAGAGAGAGGGCAGCGGGGTGGAGCCGGCCCCAGGGCTATATTTAGCTGTCCTGCCCACCTCCTCCCATCGCTTCTGGAAACTGTTCTAAAAGTAAGCACTGAGCAGTCAGCTGGCAGGACCACCTGTCCTGGCCCATCCACTGCTCTTCAGGCCCAGCCTGAAGTCGGGGCTCGGAGCCAGCGGGGGACAGAAATGCCACAACCAGGCAGAGTCCCCTTCCCTCCCCTCTTCCACTCTACACTCTGGCTTCCTTCCCCCTGCCTACAACCCCTCCCCACCTATCACCCGCTGGCTTCCCAAGCTCCCAGCTCACCCAGGTCTCTGACAGAATCGCCCCCCTCGCACAAGGCCTGAAAGATTTTCTTCCACAGGTCAGGGGACAGCATCCCCCGCCCGCACTGAGTGCTTAACGGCCCAGAGCCAAGTGGGCCCCTGAGCGCTGGGAGAATGAATAATAGGAAGTTTAATAAACGAATGAGGTGAATCCAGAGCCCACAGCCAGAACTCAGTTCTGCCCCAGAAGCGCAGGGCCTCCCTTTCAGTCTCAGTTCAGATTTCATTCAGCATCTGACCCCATTCATCGCTTGGCCTATTTCTTACCCAGCTTCCCCGTCCCACAAGAACCTTACACTTACCTCTCCCTCTGCCTGGGAGAGGTTTCAAACCCAGATACTGCACAGCAGACTTCCGAGAAGATGGTGGAGCGGTGAGCAGCAGAGAAAGAGCCTCTCCAAGATTTGGTGTCCTAACACTGGAACGTAGTAGTCCAAGGAGGGGGGGTCCCCGGGACCCAGGGAGGATCTGAGGGGAGAACCGAAGCCCACAGGGAGAGTGGAGAGGAGCGAGGTACCAAGCAGTGCTCTCTCCCAGAGCCCGAGGGACCAGCGGGCTGAACCTGCAGAGGCAAGGTAACTACTGATGACCTCAGAGGCCTCCACAGAGAAATACACCAGCGGAACAGAGCAGTGGGTGAACCAGACTGCAGCAGCTGGCGAGTTATCCGGGTTCAGACCTCACCCGGGACAGGTGACTGGCCGGTAGCCATCTTGGTGAGGGGGCAGCTGCGCTCAGAACTCAGAACAGCTGTGGGTGGACTCCAGCTGGTGGCTCCCAGGGCCTTGAGCGCGCCAAGTTCAAATCCGCAGGAGGTCAGGGAGTGGAGTTCAAGCTGGAAGGAGACACATAGACTGTTGTAGGCTCAAGGAATCTGGTTCCAGCCTCAGAGCCAGAAACCGGCCTGAACTTCAGAGGAACTAAAGGGGCCGGCTGGCTGGGGTTATCCACTGCCCCATCATGAAGCTGCAGCTGGCTTGCTGGGATTAATCAGTTTGGCTCTGGACTCTGTTTGCCACATTCCCTAACAGTGAGCAGAAACATACCTTGAATTGGATTTGTGGGTTTTTAAATCTTTTTTCTTTTTCTTTTTCCTTTTCTTTTTTTTTAACCTCCTTGCTAGTTCTTATTTTGTTTCGTTTAGTTTTTTTCTTGTTTGAACACAGTTTCTAGATTTTTGTTGTTGTTCTACTCTTGTTTTATTGTTTTCTTTTCTCTTTCCCACTTTTTTTTTTTTTTAGACCCAGTCTCACTATGTAGGTGAGACTAAGCTGGAACTCACTTATGTAGCCCAGGCTGGTCTCGAACTCACAGTGATCCTCCTGCCTCAGCCTCCAGAGTGGTGGGATTACAGGTATGCACCACCATGCCCTGCTTTGCCCACCTGTCTCCTTCACCAGTTTCCTAAAGTTTGTCCTCCAGTCTTGCTTCGGATCTCTTCCTCTACTTCTGTTTTTTACCCCCATCCCCTTTTAAATCTTCTCCTTAGGGTAAAATTGCCATATTAAGGGCTACAATTTGTAATTTTCTGGCTGTATTTGATGCTATTGTTGTTTGTACTACTTTAGCCAAGGTGACAGAACTGGGCCAATCAGTCGTTCTTCCTGGTATACCAATACTGAGAGTGCCTAAAGGTCTTGAAAAAGAAAAAGGAAAGAAAAAAAAAGAACCTAAAGCCAGTGCCAAAGAACTGACAGATGGTTCCAGGTCAATCTCAACTACATAGTGAGACCCTGTCTCAAAAAACCAAAAAAAAAAAAAAAAAAAAAAAAAAAAAAAAAAAAAAAAAAAAAAAAAAAAACTTACAGATGGGCCAAATAGGAAGAAAATTCTCATCCCCAATAAATTGAAGCGATAGGATCCTGCAGCAGACTCAAAACCCAAAGGCCAGCTACACCTGGAAGACGCTTCTGAGAAGCAGGCATTTCCTAAGGGCTCTGAACACTGGCAGTAAAGCTACCGGCCATAAGCTATTTACAGGCATCAACCCAGGAGTCACACTGTAAAAGCAGATACTGCACAGCCTCTTCCCTTCCTGCCTCACATCTGCATTCAGTGTCACGTCACGTTCTGTGAGGCCTCCTCTCAGGTCCTCCATCCCATTTTTTTGGAAACATTGTCTCACCATTTTGCCCTCAATCCTTCTTCCTCAGTCTCCCAAGTAACTGGGATCATTATAGATGGCTCCCCGTGCCCCGCAATTCCTGGAGTTTTGTTGTTTTTTTGTTTGTATGTTTGATTGTGCAGTACTGGGGATTGAACTAGGGGCTTCATATGGAACTATAGTCTCAGCCCTTTATATTTACTTTATTAATTTTTGATTTTATTTTCAAAAAGGGGTCTCTAAATCACTAAATTTCCCAGAATGGGTTTGAACTTTTGATCCTCCTGCCTCGGCCTTCCAAGGGCTGGGATTATAGGTGTGCACCACCTGGCTCATGTCATGGATTTAAGTCTCATCATCCCAATACCTTCCTTCCCTGCTTTTTCTTCGCAGCATGTGTCAGCATCTGATGTGAAATACGTATCATTTGTTTATTGGTTTATTGTCTGTCTTCTTCTACTAGAATATAAGTTTTGCTCAGTGCTTGTCTCCAGCTTAGGATAAAAATGTGTGGCACAAAGTTAGTGCTCAACTAATAAATAATGGGTGAACACACAGATTCATTCCCTCTCATTTGGCCTTCGTGTTTCTCTCTGTGTCAGCCTCACTCAGCCTTTACCTCGTTTTGCTCATTCTTTTCACAACCCCCCTCCCCAGTTTCTATTTTGTTTTGTTTGGGACACAGGCTAGTTGGCTAGTTGGGTTTTTTTTGTTGTTGTTGTTCTTGTAAATTGTGCTTTAATTTTTGCAATAAGATATGATCCAGTGAGAATACAATAATAAACTTTTTTGTGCAAGATATATCCCCCATAGTTTATTCCTTTAAAAAAAAGAAAAAATTGAATTTTATTAAAGCTAGTTCATCTTAAGTGTAAAAATTTGGAATATAAACAAACTCAATATATTGTGTACAGTAAATATTAATGTACATTTCCAAACTTACACAGTGCCATGTTTTAAAGTAAATGGTCTCTAAGGGTAAGGGAAAGGGAATAAGGAAAAAGAAAAAAATAGGAGAAAATGAAAAAATGGAAATAAAGGGTTTGTAAATGGGGAGGGGAGGGGTGAAGGGAGGGCAGGGACAAGGGGAAAAAATGAGAACCAAGACCTGTCATGTAAAGGTACAAGATCCCAACAATGAATGTAACTGTACTGTATACTTTAAAATGTACCAATAAACTCATTGAGGGGGAAAAAACGTAAATGGTCTCATTTCAGCTTTTACTGTCAAACATAATCCATCTCTGAATCTTGAATAAAAATTTCACAATATATAAATCCACTGAGAATTTTGTATACGTTATAAAAATCTGGTTTCAAATATAAATACATAAATCACCATGACCTAACATGTTACAACAGTTTGCTTACTTATTTTGCTATAGTGATTTGTTTTTAAATCATAGAAAACTCACCTGTCTCACAAGCACAAAAGTTTGACCCTAATACTAGAAAAAAAAAAGAAAGAAAATCATAGAAAAATAGTTCAATGTACATTTAACTGCTATGACAAGGGCAATGCCCTTGTGCCTTTAAATCACATCTTACAGAGTATAAAGCATCACACAAGGCATTTTTTTTAAGCAAAACACTTACTGGTATAGTTTTGATAAATATAATGATAACATCATAGGGGATTCGTACCTGTATATGATATATCTTTGCTGATTCTTTTTTTCCCATTCCCCTCCTCTGCGTTCAACTCTGTTTCCCTCATTTACAAAAGCTTTGTTCCATTTTTTATTTGTTGCCCAGAATTGCTTTTGCTATTCTAGGTCTCTTCTGGGTCCAAATGAATTTTGGGATTGTTCTCTCTAATTCTTTAAGATATACTGTTGGAAATTTGATTGGAATTGCATTATATATATATATATATAACAGTCTTGGAAGTATGGCCATTTACCCTATGTTGGTTCTTCCTACCCAAGAACAATCTTTCCATTTTCTGATATCTTCTTCGATCTTTTTTAGAGTACTGTAGTTTTCAACGTAGAGGTCTTTTACTTCCTTCATCAGATGGGTTCCTAAGTATTTTAACACCAGGCAGTTCTGGAATGAAAATTACTAAGATTAAAGAGGCTACCACAAAAATATTCATGTTATAACAAGGTAACAAAATAGCTCCACAGTATATTTGGGAGAAAATGGGGCAGAGAAGTGAGTAGGGATTACTGCTAGTTTAAGAAAGCCCATGGGACATATGTGCAGGGAGCTAGGAACTAGTGTATTTTTTAAAATCCCTATGGCAAGCCTAATGCTGACCTCCCTCCTAAAACTCTTAAGGCAACACACACTGAGGTATGTCTGGCCCCAGATGCACAAATCCTGCCTTCCCTTCAACCTGTTTTTTGTTTTGTTTTGTTTTGTTTTGTTTTTTCAGTACTGGGGATTGAACTCAGGACCTTGTGCTCACAAGGCAGGCGCAGTGGCACTGAGCTACATCTCCGGCCCATCGACCTGTTATTTTCCCTGACCAACCTGAGGTGTGCATTGAAGTGAAATGAAGACGGGCAAAGTGACTGCATGTACAGAGGTGAGCCATGCAAACTAGGGAGTACTCGTCAATAGCTTCACCTTCTCCTACTGCCCTCCAGCAGGTATTTCTAAACATCCACCATTCGTGTTCGGATCTATTCTGAAGAGCAAATGTATACAAAAGGCAAACGTTCATCAGAAAGGTTCTCAGGTAAGGGTTTTTTCCCTTCCTTTTGTAGGAGTTGACAAGCGTTCCACCAAAAATGAAAAAATGGGTCCTTACAAAGTGTATTTTCATATATGTGTGTGTGTGCGTATGTAAATTTTTGTTTTTGTTTTTGTTTTTTGAGACAGGGCCTCACTATGTCGTTGAGACTGACCTGGAACTCACTATGTAGCCCAGGCTGGTCTCGAACTCACAGCAATCCTCCTGCCTCAGCCTCCCGAGTGCTGGGATTACAGGTGTGCACCAGCGAACCCAAGAAGACCAGATATAGTTGAGTTTTTTCTATGGCTTCTTAATCCCTGACCCCAGCAGTCTGTGAAGGACCAGAGTGGGCGAGGGAAGCAGGGGGCTGAGAAGTAGCTGAGCAGCCACAGCAGATAAGCAGGCTCTCGGGGCCTCCAGAGGCTCGGGGAAGGGGAAGATAGCAAAGCAAGGTGCTCACACACCGGGAAACTCCAGAGGCAAGGAAGCTCCTCCAGGCAAACCAAGAGATTTCCCGTTTCACCAGCAGGTTCAGCAGCGAGACACAGGGACCGTGTGTTCCCTGGCAGGCAGTGCAGAGGGTCAGCACTGAGGAAAGACCCGCGCAGCACAGGCCAGGGCTGAGGGCTAGGGTGTGTGGCAACAGTGGAACTTTGTAGCTTTTCTACAGAATCTAAGGAAACGCCATCCACCTCAACACCTCTGTCTCAGTCTTTCAATTCACACAAACACTGCATAAAGCTGCCCTTGTTCCTCACTGAGATGGGCCAGCAACACTATTCCCAATGGTGGGATGAACGGTCTTGGCGCAGAAAGGATTGGAAGAAAGGAGCACTGGGGCCAGGGATTTAGCTCAGTTGCGCCTGCCTCGCAAGCACAAGGTCCTGAGCTCAATCCCAGGTACCACACACAAAAAATGTAGCAGGCCCAAGAACATGAAACTGAAGCTCTCTGGTAGTAAAGCCACTGCGGGTCCTCTGTAATACTCAGGCATCAGAAAACAGCCACAATCCTATGATGGGTCAAGTAGGAATTCCTCCCAATTAATACCAGAGCTATGGTTTTAATTGCATTCGTTCAGAACCATGAAAAAATTGAGAACCAGCTCTTCTCTTCAAGACCTAGGCTTTCTCCAACAGAGCGCTGGGCCCCGACCTCCCCGCATTAGCAAGACACTTGTCCAGGGACCAACCGTCCCAACCTCCCACCCGTCAGTGATACACACATCCTCCCATCTGGCCAGATCATCCTCATATCCCGGAGCTTTCCAGGCACTGGTGGGCAAGACAGGCTTGGACAAGTGTCATGGGGCAAAGCGATGGGAGACAGCACCAGCCGCAGAGCTCCAAGCGGCGGCGCCTCTGCCTGGAGGGCGTGTGGCTGTGGAGTTGCCTAGGTTTTTTCTTGTAAGCTCTGGACTTCCTCACTTCAGAGTCTGCTCATGGTGGCCGCTCTGCCACCACCCACGATTTGGGCTCCTAGAATCCAACACACGTATGATGGTGCCCAACTTTTTATTCCTGACCCCTGTGTATGAGGCAACAAGCCATGGTAGGCAGTAGGCTTGCTGAGCCAGCGGTCAGAGAGCTCCGAAGTCATCCTCAAGCTCATCTGGAGAGTTGCTAAGTTGGCTGATGCTCTTGCCCAGAAGACTTTAATTAAAACATCGGTGTCTTCCCTGACAAATCCTCTTTCTGGAGATGATGTAGGCTGGGAGGGTGGCAAAGAAAGTCATCACTGCTGTTTGAAATGCATGCCTTTCTGCTGGCCTCTGTCCAGTCCTGGCTTTTCCACAAATGGCTTCTGAGCAATGTCTAGGCTTTGGGTTCGAACTGTACAGGCCGACCCCATACAGTGAGCAGACTCAAGGCTTGCTTTGTGTATCCAGGCTTCCCTACACGTTAGTATCATTTGTTTGTTTGAGACAGGGTCTCACTGTGTAGTTGAGACTGATCTGGAAGTCACTATGTAGCCCAGGCTGGTGTCAAACTCACAGCGATCCTCCTGCCTCAGCCTCCTGAGTGCTACAATGACAGGCGTGCACCACCACGCCCCGCTTAGTATCTTTTTGATGAGATGAACTGAAGAAGAAAGTACCAAGAATAGGTATATGCAGGTTATCTGACAAACGTTAAGTAAGACAGGTATAGTGGCACACACCTGTAATCCCAGCACACGGGAGGCTGAGGCAGGAGGATTGCTGTGAGTTCAAGACCAGCCTGCGCTACATAGTGAGTTCAAGGTCAGCCTGAACTGCACAGTGAGATCTTGTCTCAAACAAACAAACAAAATAAGTAAGTCTCAGTGAACTCAAACACTGGGGAATGCTGGTGCACCAGCT